TTCAGAACTTCTCTTAATAATCAACAAAATAATTCATATCTAAAACCAAAGTTGTTCTAGCAGGTAATCAATCAAGTAGTTTTCAATTTTCATATTCTTTTATTTAGACTTAACCTTTTAATTTCATTATTTGCTCTTATATTTCTGCATACTCTGAATCATCTCTCTTTTTTTATTCTTAAAGTACTTAATTTTCTTTATTCCAAATATACAGCAGACACTGCACATAATTTTCAACTAACAAAACATAATACCTCACTGCACTCAACTTTTTTTAACCTGTTGATGCCAGAAGTGTATATATACACTGACTGTCCCCTATGGTTTTCTTTTGTTCATTTTATTTACACAGAGACTAATTTAGAAGCCAATTAATAGTCTGACCTGAGCTCACCCTACTTACTCAGTTCCTTGAGTTTTCAGAAAGAAAGGTTTCTATTTTCATCAATATCATCATTATAAATAGTGTTATGTTAACTGAAATAAACACTTCTTTTTCAAAAACTTCAAGGTCTGGGATAAAAGGGAAGATCAGCATTTGTGAAGCCACTAGTAAAAAAAATGAAGAAAAACATAACCACAGTGGACAGTGGACGTACCCAGCACCCAGGGACTAAAGAGGCGAACGTGTACCTCACAAGCCAGTGATGACTAATGACAGGGTGACAGGCTGTGTATGGTGTCTATTTCATTATTGACATGTACGTGATGATAATTACCAAGAATGCAACAATGTTATTCAAACATTTTGCATTTGGCTTATCATCACCAACCTCTTTGCCCGAGTTTTAAAAAAGCAGTTCAGTACATGAAATAAATTACAACAAAAAATATAGCTTTTTATCAAAAACTAAAATTACAAGAAAAAAATAATTGATAAAAACTAATGAAAATGGATAAAAACTGACAAGAAACCAAAAGAAGATATGAAAATTAAAAGAGAAACTAAAACAAAATAACTAATTAATTGGTATACAAGTTAAAACCTAATAGAAACAACATGAAAATCTAACTATACAAGATGTAGCACTTAAGAGAGAAATAAAGGTACAAATATTTAATGCTATCTCAAGAACAGAAGAGTTAAATATAATGCATGTAACATAAAATATACATCTTTTTAACCTATACAATAGAGATCACAAAACTAAAGATCACGTACATATATGAACACTTTATACATTCATTTTAATATACGAATGCAAGATTATGACCCAAATAATATAAGAATCATTTAGTATTTGTTCTGTCTAACAATCTATCTTTTTCTTGATTTACTTCATTTTCTCTCTTCTCCAGCTGTAGGAATATATATATATATACTGTTTAGCAACCACAAAAAACAATTTAGAGAAACCATCACATGACTAGCATATACCAACTGGATTCCTCCGAGGAAATAGCACTTTATGCTGCAAGAGGAGAGCTTCCTCTTTTTTAGCCTTTTCTGAACACACAAAGCTTTTTTTTTTTTTCTTCCAATTCTTGTGACGTACAACAACCACAGAATGACACTCTGCCTTGTTCAAGCTTCTATCTATTCACAATTGTTCTTCTATAATTTCAAAGGTCTTTTATTGTTTTTTGTTTTTGTTATTGTGTAGATCACAAATGGCAGTGACAAGGAGACACACCAAAGTCTCATGCTTGGCAGCTGCTGTATTATGTCGACGTACCATGATAAAATAACATCAGTAGCGTCTTTGCAGACTGCGAGGACTTCTCTGCAAATACAGTTTCTTAACACACATATAATATGCGCATATACAGCAATCAGTGTATATACGCAGAGTGAAAAACTTTGACCCATTTTGCAAAGGCAGAAATTTGCAAGAGCGAAACATCTACTAGGTCATGCCTTCTGACTGCTGCCGTTCCCATATCTAAAACACTGAAGTCTGTAGGTTAATATCAGGATGCCTGGATGAGTGACATAAAATGAAGATCAAATACAGCTACTGATACAGATAAGAGAATAGGTATTAGATAAGTCAGAGTAATCTCAGTCTTTATCCTTTTGCTGCTTGAGTTCTAGTTCCTCAAAAATTCTACTATCTGCTCTCAGCCTGTTAATTAAATGTACTTTCCCTTTAAATGCTCCCGAGTCTAAAATCTGTAGAAATCTCTAACACACGATGTTCCCACAGCCTTCCAATGTCAGTAAGAATTATCATTCAACTATATGACTAATGCATTTTTTCCCCAAAACATACAGCTGTCACTTCTGCTAATTTATACATTTATACTCCCCAAAGCCCATATATATTTAATTCCCTTTATGCAACACTGAAGTCTGAGTAAGCAGTAAAAGGATTAAGAAAAGATTTCATGGAAGCTTCGAAACAACCATCGCTGTATGAAGTAGCTATTAACATACACAAATAAAAAATAATAATAATACTAAGTAAAATATTGGATATCCTCGTCAAAGAACTGGGAAGACTCAAAACAAAATATCTGAAATAATATAATCACTACACTTAAATTGGTAATTCTTATCAGATAGATATAATCTTTGGCTTTACAACTGGACCTAATAATTCACGTCCCTCAAAATCTCTTTCAAAAACCATGGCAAGGTCCTTCACCATATAAAATTCACAATGAAAAAAAATAAATAATGAAATATCTGTGAAATTGATGTATTGTTTGTTTTTATAAAATCATCTTTATCACCTTACATATAGAAACATACTTTTGTAATACACTCTCTATATAACTTTGTTTTCATCCTGCATCCCTACTTTATAAATGATGCTATTTGCAGTATGGAAACTAGTCATTAGCCTACAGAAGTACTGATATTTTTATCCCTCATTCATATATAGAAAAAATAACATTTATATCATTCTCAACTAGAAATTTAAAAAAAGTCTGTATTTTATCAAAAATTTACAAGAAAAAAATAATTGATAAAAACTAATGAAAATGGATAAAAACTGACAAGAAACCAAAAGAAGATATGAAAATTAAAGAGAAACTAAAACAAAATAACTAATTAATTGGTATACAAGTTAAAACCTAATAGAAACAACATGAAAATCTAACTATACAAGATGTAGCACTTAAGAGAGAAATAAAGGTACAAATATTTAATGCTATCTCAAGAACAGAAGAGTTAAATATAATGCATGTAACATAAAATATACATCTTTTTAACCTATACAATAGAGATCACAAAACTAAAGATCACGTACATATATGAACACTTTATACATTCATTTTAATATACGAATGCAAGATTATGACCCAAATAAAATAATAATCATTTAGTATTTGTTCTGTCTAACAATCTATCTTTTTCTTGATTTACTTCATTTTCTCTCTTCTCCAGCTGTAGGAATATATATATATATACTGTTTAGCAACCACAAAAAACAATTTAGAGAAACCATCACATGACTAGCATATACCAACTGGATTCCTCCGAGGAAATAGCACTTTATGCTGCAAGAGGAGAGCTTCCTCTTTTTTAGCCTTTTCTGAACACACAAAGCTTTTTTTTTTTTCTTCCAATTCTTGTGACGTACAACAACCACAGAATGACACTCTGCCTTGTTCAAGCTTCTATCTATTCACAATTGTTCTTCTATAATTTCAAAGGTCTTTTATTGTTTTTTGTTTTTGTTATTGTGTAGATCACAAATGGCAGTGACAAGGAGACACACCAAAGTCTCATGCTTGGCAGCTGCTGTATTATGTCGACGTACCATGATAAAATAACATCGGCAGCGTCTTTGCAGACTGCGAGGACTTCTCTGCAAATACAGTTTCTTAACACACATATAATATGCGCATATACAGCAATCAGTGTATATACGCAGAGTGAAAAACTTTGACCCATTTTGCAAAGGCAGAAATTTGCAAGAGCGAAACATCTACTAGGTCATGCCTTCTGACTGCTGCCGTTCCCATATCTAAAACACTGAAGTCTGTAGGTTAATATCAGGATGCCTGGATGAGTGACATAAAATGAAGATCAAATACAGCTACTGATACAGATAAGAGAATAGGTATTAGATAAGTCAGAGTAATCTCAGTCTTTATCCTTTTGCTGCTTGAGTTCTAGTTCCTCAAAAATTCTACTATCTGCTCTCAGCCTGGTAATTAAATGTACTTTCCCTTTAAATGCTCCCGAGTCTAAAATCTGTAGAAATCTCTAACACACGATGTTCCCACAGCCTTCCAATGTCAGTAAGAATTATCATTCAACTATATGACTAATGCATTTTTTCCCCAAAACATACAGCTGTCACTTCTGCTAATTTATACATTTATACTCCCCAAAGCCCATATATATTTAATTCCCTTAATGCAACACTGAAGTCTGAGTAAGCAGTAAAAGGATTAAGAAAGGATTTCATGGAAGCTTCGAAACAACCATCGCTGTATGAAGTAGCTATTAACATACACAAATAAAAAATAATAATAATACTAAGTAAAATATTGGATATCCTCGTCAAAGAACTGGGAAGACTCAAAACAAAATATCTGAAATAATATAATCACTACACTTAAATTGGTAATTCTTATCAGATAGATATAATCTTTGGCTTTACAACTGGACCTAATAATTCATGTCCCTCAAAATCTCTTTCAAAAACCATGGCAAGGTCCTTCACCATATAAAATTCACAATGAAAAAAAATAAATAATGAAATATCTGTGAAATTGATGTATTGTTTGTTTTTATAAAATCATCTTTATCACCTTACATATAGAAACATACTTTTGTAATACACTCTCTATATAACTTTGTTTTCATCCTGCATCCCTACTTTATAAATGATGCTATTTGCAGTATGGAAACTAGTCATTAGCCTACAGAAGTACTGATATTTTTATCCCTCATTCATATATAGAAAAAATAACATTTATATCATTCTCAACTAGAAATTTATAAAAATCTGTCTTTTTCATTTACTATTTATATCAATTCATTTATATCAAGGGACAGAAATCTTTCATACTTTGGCACATATAGATAAAATACATGTGTTTGAATTTCTTTTTAAAAACAAGCCTGTTCACATCGCTTCATACCCATGCAATATTGCATTTTCATTTAACAACTTTGTCCACAAGAATTATGAACAAGGTGCCCTAAATTGCCACAATCTTCTAAATTGAAATAAACTTTTAAAATATAGGCTTTATAAAGTCCAGACTTATCAGAAGTAATAAAAACAAGAGAATCATTGAGATTGAGAAAGTGAGAGATAAAAAAATAATAATAATAATAAATTAAAAAAGCCAGTTAGCCAGTCACTAGGCCAGTATTAGGAAGCAGTGCAACCTTAGTCAGAATCGTTATTGTGGTCGTCAGAGTCGTTGTTGTGGTCTCCCGTTGGCAGGACTCCCAGCCCTTCTTGCAGTTCCATGACGCTTTCCACTGGGTGCGGCTTTCCATCATCCCCTATGCGGCACGGCTGGATGATGTTGTTTCTGGAAAAGTTGAGGTGAGATGTGTAAACACTTGAGCATGATATAAATCACTTACATGATAGGACAAATGGACTATGTTTTACAGTGTAGGGGGTTAGAGTCTACAAGCATGAATGCTCCCTCAGTCCACTGCACACAAAAACACAGGAGAGTGTTTCATACAAACTAATATAAATACACACATTTACATATTTACCTCCACACACACAATTTCATAATTTCATAAATGCACACACATGCACAAATATGCACACACACATGGACAAGCACAAGCACACACAGATGCAGACACACACACATGCAGACGTACACGCATACTTACACACGCACACACACATATACATTGACACCCATACATACAAACACTCGCATGCATGCACTTACACACTCACACATTCACTCTCTCACATACACACACACATACATACATAAACACACACACACACACACACACACACACACACACACACACACACACACACACACACACACACACACCACACACACACACACACACACACACACACACACACACACACACACACACAGTACAAATTATTAAATTTCTTCTTCCTCTTCATTCCTCTTCCTCCTTCCTCATTCCTTTCTTACTCCTCTCTAACACCCTTTGCTTTTTTTCCCATTCCCTTCTTCTCTATATCACCTTCTTCCTTAACCTTTCCATCTACCTTCTCCACTCATAAAAAGCACAAACAAACAAAAAAAAGACATAAATGCATAAAATACCTGGTGAGCTTATCCAACACATTGACTAGTTTCATGGCCTCGTGTTCCTTCTGTTCATCCGTCATTCCATCGAGTGGCGACGGTCGAGGGGGCTCGTAGCGGCCGGTAACTGGGTTGATCCTTCAAAAAAAGAGAGGGGAGAGAGGATTTTAAATCTATTTCTTCATGACAGCACACCCAAGCAGAGGACAGCAGATACAATATGATTACGACAGACAATCAGATTCAATATATTTTTAAAAACATGGGTATCTAATGCTAGTAAATCATAACTTATAATAATGCTTTGCTCATCTATTACTTAAAGAATTATTAAGGTAAATACTAAACCAGATCACAACCTCTACACACTATCACACTTTTTCACGTAATTATTTCTAGAAATCAAGTTTTTTTCCTTTCTACAAATAATTTACATAAAACATTTTTAGTGGCATGCTGTACAAACTGAATGTAAAGAAATATCAATACACATGTACATCAATAACTCTATGGCAATCAACAGCCTTGATCTCTGAAACCTTAATGTTAAAAAAAATCATAATAAATGTTTAAACAAAAAACTATTTCACCCACATGTCCTTAACTCGCTCGTATTCCTCCGTGTCCGAATCCTCAGAGTCTGAAGAGTAGTCGATAGTCGGCTTGCTTCCTCCTAGCATCAGGCCACGAGAGGCGAGGAGACCTGCTGCATTGCCGTATCCCGTGTATTTAATCAGCCGGTCAACTGTGGAATGTGAATGAGTGTGAGGGAACTTCATATCAATGCTTCTTAAGATATTCTAAATTCTTACTCAAAATAAATTGGTAACAAATCTAAATACCACCAATATCAAAATAATCTGCAGAGAACAAAGCAAATAGAATAAAAATGTTGAGAAAGGAATGAATGAATCACATAACAAGACCCAATCAATACTCATATATCATCTTCTTTGAAGATAATGACACTGAAAAATTGATCACCGTCTTCCCATGAAATACCATTCCTTCTAATTCATACCATATTTATATGCATACATGTACATAACATAATGCCCGTCATAGCCATTTCCACTGAAGAAAATAGAGAGAACTTACCACTCTCCTTGCACAAAATAAACAAGAAATTTGCCGAGAGGTGCTTGAGGTCGTGCAGGGGAGAGGTCATGAGTGAGCACAGCTTGTTGCGGATGGTGTGGCCTTCCTCTGGTCTCTTGCTCACATCCCTTAGGGGTGGCAGAATGCGGAGTCGGATGAACTTGCGGATGGTGCGGTTGGCCTGCGTCATCTCAACCATCAGGGTGAGAATGGGCATCAGGCTCTTGCTCGATGACTGGCCAGGCTGTCGGAGATTGATAATTTTACTTTCTCTTTATTTTGTTTTTGTTTTTGGGGATAATGGGAAAGGTTTTGAGCAAATGACACATGGACAGGATGAGCTTAAGGCCAAAAGAGACCATGGAACAATATCAGTGAATCAATCTACGTTTTTTTTATAGATATATTGCACAATATCTAAGTCAATAATAAGAGATCAGTAACCATTACTATATTTGTATGAATGTATGAATCTATGTATGTATGTATGTATTACGTATATGATATATGTATGTATGTATGTATGTATGTATTTATGTATATATGTATGTATGTATGTATGTATGTATATATGTATGTATTTATGTCTGGTATGTATGTAGTATGTATGTATGTATGTATGTATGTATGTATGTATGTATGTATGTATGTATGTATGTATGTATGTATGTATGTATGTATGTATGTATGTATGTATGTATGTATGTATGTATGTATGTATGTATGTACATATATATGTACATATGTATGTTTATCTATTTGTTTATTTGTTTGTTTGTTTGTTTGCTTGTATAAATGAGTTTATATTTATGTATGCATGTATGCATGTATGCATGTATGCATGTATGCATGTACGCATGTCCGCATATATGCATATTTGTCACATTCAACATTACATCAGTCTTTAAAGTCAATGTGTACATTCTAAGAAGAAATCCTGAGACAACTTCAAAGCTAAGTGTTCTTACTGTCTAAAACATACCTAAATATATAGGACTGCATCAATGGCATCTACAATGAGCAGAATTTAATAGCAGGATACCCTTGGAAAATCAAATCATATGATATTTTTTCTTTTATACAATAGTATTTGGGTAGTACCCTTCAGCAGATTCATAATAAAGCCTACAGGTATCATAGAACAGTATCAAAGAATCCATACAGATCTCATTAAACAAAATCTAGCAATTTTCTATTAGAACCCCAAATTTCACACGGGAAGGCAAAGGGTAACCAACCACAGGCGCAGCTATAACTATCATCATTACTCGTAAACACTGCAGAGACTTTCTTATCACCCTGTACCTTGAATGTAGCCCAGGTGAGGATCTGATTCTCTGGCTATTGCAGTCAAGGTAATTATCAGAATATCAGATTAATTGGTCAGTAATATGAAACCGTCATTATATTTACATCTCTGTTTTCAAATTAAATGACAATATACCTTGTATGGTAGTAAAGGTAATTCTTCAGAAGATTAGTTTCATTTTGCCTGTCTTTATAGTAACTGATTACTTAGCTGGTAGAACAATTTACCACTCTCTGTCAAAATATCTTTTACTTTATATATTCTTTTGGTGTAGCACTAATCTCATGTTTAGTAGATACTGTAATCATTGAAGTGAAATGCCAAGACAATAATACTATTCATCTATCCACATCAAAACTTTCTGAAGACTTCATCTTTTAAGTGTATAACAATTGTGTTTGAGTTTGAGTAATTATCAAAACAGTTTTCACATAAATCATTAATCAGTCTGTTTCAAAATATCTAGTCTTTCTATTATTTGAGACCACAAATATATACCTGAAACACAAAAACTGAAGACCTCCCTGTGCTATTCCAGAGAAAGACATTTCCCTAAATATGTCTTATACTTATCCAATATTCATGTTCAACTGATCACAGAGGAAAAAAAATATATGCTAAAATAATAACAATATTTCTAGAAGGTGAATGATTAATGAAAGAAAATATTATATACCTCAAAATGTGAAAGTGCATCTTTTAAAAATGAAACAAAGATTATGGAGATATATCTAAGAAAAATCAAACATGGATATAAAAAAAAGTTAACCACTCAGCTATAAACTCCAAGATTACCTACCGACTTCAATCTGGAATCAAGGAAGTCCAGCAGCTTAATGATGGCTGTCATGTCTTTGCCGTCATACTCGCATGATCGCTCGTTCTGTTTGCTGAGATCAGAATCTACTTCAGTGAAGCATGCAGCCTCCATGAGAGCTGTTGCCCCTGCAGTAGGCTGGGTAGTAACCACAGTGGGGGCTGGGGGAGGCATAGGGGACTCAGAGGCCTGTGGCATGTCACACAGCAGTTCCTCATACATCTTAGGAGGCATCACTAGTAGCAGGTTGACCGTGTTGCTGAAAAAAAAGAGTTAAAAATATATATTGGTGTGTAGATCCTTAAAGAAGGGCTGCCATGTTTTGTGAATTGGATGAGGTTATTTCTATTCCAAAGAGGAAAGGGAATGTCAGGTAAGAACAGGAAAAAAGAAGGTAAGGAGGAAGAAGGAGCACCAGCAAGAGAAGAAGACAGAAAAGAGGGAAAATAAAGAGTAGGAGACAGATGGATGTAGAAAAGATGGACAAAAAGCAGAGAGATAAAAGCCACAGCCATCATGTTGTACCAAAAACCTGTCTTCTTAGGATAGCATGTTGAGCTTAAGAGCAAAAGATGAGACAGGAACAAAAGAGAAAACAGCAATGACAAATATGAAAGTAAAAAACGAAAAAAATCAGTACCACAGCCACCAACCTGTGCAGGGAATCTGTCTTCTCAGGGCAGCGGGTGGAGGCCAGGAGAAGATAGCGTAGGATGCTGATAAGACGCAAGCAGTGGCTGTCCTCCTCCTCGTCTGGGCTGTTTTTGTCGATGTGAAGTACCAGGTTGTACAGGACTTTGAGAACCTCATTAACCAGCTCTGCCTGCTGCTCTCCTGTAGGATTTGGAAAAAAAAAACATTACTTCATTATTTTCTTTTTATCTTTTCTTATTTGTCTTGTATTTCTTCATCAACTTATTTTCATTTCTTTGTTTTTACTATCTTGTGACCTCAAGACAGATATGAGACAAGAAAAACTGCAAAGAAGGAAACTGCAGTATTAAAAATTAGCTAGTGGCCAGTAAAGTGGATTGTTGACACGCATTAACAATTTCCTCCATTTGCACATGGCTCTTTCAGTACTTCAAGCACAACACTTGGCACCTCGTGCTTGTAGCTGTATTTCATAAACAAAAGTTTTAAAAAAATAAAGATTTCACTTCACTTCAAAATGTCTGTATCTAATAGAGACATAAAGCAAGTGAAATTCGATGGATGGATGGATGGATGGATGGATGGATGGATGGATGGATGGATGGATGGATGGATGGATGGATGGATGGATGGATGGATGGATGGATCTTCCCAAAGAAACAAACAAAAACCTCATCATTGAAGATAATGGGATTGGGGAGGTAGCCGTTAATGGATTGCACCTCGCTCTCCTCCTGGGCCGTTTTAAGTGACAGGTCTAGGATCTCGATCAGGTAAGTCAGCCCATGGTACTCTGACCTCAGCCGTGGTCTGTGCGGATAGCAAAGAAAGTCAGGGTTACAGAAAATATGTAGAAAAAAATGGGGGAAGAAATAAACATGATAATAAAAAAATAATCAAAATAAAAGAAAAAGAGACCAATACAACAGAGAAAATAAAAGGATGAAATAAGAAGTAATACAGGAAAATTATAAATACAAATAATCAAAACAATTTTTTTCTTGATATCATAACGAGTTTCTTCATCAATACAATTTTCTTCATCATACCAATGAAATCTCTTCAATTGGACACATTTTTTCCCGCTTTATATCCACCCCAAGCATTAGTTAAAACTTTTTCCCTTGATATCCCACCATCCTTTTTCTCTCAAAACTCAATAAAAAAAAATTTTCTTAAAATTCTTTTCCCATGCAGCCCCTCAAAAACGGCACGAGACCCCAAAAGGGCAGAAGTCAACGCTCACCTAATATCTCCACAGAAAGCCGTCAGCAGGAAGAGCAGCCTCATATCAAAGTACTTGACAAGATGCGGCAGATCTGGGTCTTTGAAGGTCTTCAGGCGACACATGAGGCCCGGGATGCAGCTGTTGACACAGCACATGCGCTGGATCGCCGAGCTGTTGTATAGCAGATTGCTCAGACATTTCTGGGCCTCTGTCACCACTGGGGAACAGACATATTGTGTTATCTTTTGTTTACTCTTACTAATTACACACACACACACACACACACACACACACACACACACACACACACACACACACACACACACACACACACACACACACACACACACACACACACACACACACACACAAAATTATCAATGTTTGAGACTTACAACAGAAAAAATGATGCGATGATGATGAGAAAAGGGCCCTTATTCTCATTTGATATAAATATACACCATAAAGCTTCATTATGTGTTGCTTAATCTTCAGAATAATGTACACCAGTGTTTTTACAATAATCAACCTACATCTAACAAGTACTACCCTTATTTAACCAACAACTGATAGGTAACTGATTTTTTATCAATAACTTTACTTGGTCTACCTCAACGTAATATACCCTACCGTCATAATTAATTTGTTGATTAAGCCGTTGCAGGGCCTCTTCCTCAGGGACAAGACCTGCCAGACGCACGATGACTGCAAGCCTGTCGCTGTCAATCACGTTGTTTAAGGACTGTTTGTCTCGACTGTAAAGAAGAAACAGGTAGTTATTAAGTCCAAATGTAGCAAAACTGCATGAAAAAATGAATGGGAGTAGAATAAGAGGAGAATGATTAAGGAAATGAACAGGAGAAGGGGGATGAAGTGGAGGAGAGGCAAGCGAAAGCAGAGGGGGGATAAGGAAGAAGAAGGTAATAAAGGGGAGGAAGAGGAGGAGGGTAAAGAGGAGGGGGAATCCCATGAAACAAACTCAAAACATTGAAGTAGCAATCAGATGCATATGATGAGTATGATCTTAAAGCACACTGGGCATAAGAATAAGTAGAAGAAGATGAAGAAAGACACAGATAAGAGGCGTACTCACCTGAGTATTCTGATCACAGAAAGGCAGGTCTGGTGGGTGACACTTGCTGCCGGGTCGCTTAATCGCCCCATAATCACATTCCACAGTCGCTCGGTGCATTGCTGTGATAATCCCACTGGGGTGAACTGCTGCTCATACTGAGGGTAAAACATCAGACCATGAGATGTGGTAAATTTGCCATAACACAAAGGTATAAGATGCAGGGATGTGATAAAAGAATTTAAAAGATTGCATTCCCAGTTCTAGAAAAAAAAACATTGGGATAAAATTCAATTTACATACTACAATAACTACATAAAGCAAGTGTAAATTAATATTAAACATAACATGGTATGGAAAACTAAAAGCCAGAATCATGAACAAAGCAACAATAAAAATTAGGAAAGGGTTCAAGCCAAGCCAAGATTCATTTATCTGTATAGTACAAAAAAAAGAAGGAAAAAAAAAACAGTAACAGCTATATACACTTGATTATGTAGTGGTCTTCTGCCTTTACAAGCTATCTCATTTACAACCTCTTTTTCTTCATTCCTGTAAGAGCCTATATTCCAATTCTTATACCTATCGAAAATTGTAACTACCTCACAGCTTGAAGCTCAACATCATAAATTTTTAAATTCATATAACTTTTTTTAATGAAAAGAGGAATGTCCCACCCTTTCAGTATTTTGAAATCATACCAATCAAAAGGCAAGAGACACAGAGACTAAGCACTAGAAAGACAAATAAATTTTTAAAAATCAAAAACCTTTCTTCATCAATACTATATATCCAAGGATTCCAGTGAGTTTATTCTCGTCCTCTCCATCCAACTTGGGAAGAAAATATGGCTCTCTATCTCTTGTACCAACAGACCTTTCTAAATCCCATATAAAACCAGTGAATAATCACTTCATTTACATCGTAATTCAAAAAAGAAGAAGAAAAAAAATCAGTCTCATTAACCAGTAGCAATGGCATTCTTGAAATCAAATAGCTTTTTATCAAAAAAAAAATAATAATAATACTTTAATGTTTAATGAATCATACATTGCATGATGCATTAAAAAAAGTGCACATGAGAAATGACAAAATCACATACCCAATCATATATCAAATAAAACTGTAAAAAAATGAGTGCCTTAGTTCTAGATACACATTTGCTTTTCCAGTGCAGGGGATAATACAAGCATTAAATATTTTCAAATTTCAGTTCCGAGTACCAGACCCTCAACACATAAAAGCAGATAAACACATATTGTCCGTCTTGATGTAAACCATGTAAAATGGAAAGAAATGAAAAGGAAGAAAGCCTTTAGAAAACAAATATGAAATATCACTTACAAAACAAAAATGAGTATAGCATAATTAGAAGCACAGACTGGGACGTCGGCAGAAACTCAACCTCCCTTACCTGGCAAACTTGGGTCCAGACTAAGCTGGCAAGGCACTGGCCATGCATACTAATGGCAGAACTCTCCAAGCAACCAGATCAGGTCAGTGGATGCCAGACTAGTGAGATTCTTACTTCACTACTTTAAACAATTAATCTATGCCTTCAAGGTCTTGTTAATTATTCAATCCAATCAATAGAAAAAATAGATTTGACAATTCTTATAATTTTTTCCTTATACTCTGAGTCCAAGACAGAAACTGTATAATGGTGACAAAACCTTTTCACATCATTTACATATTGGATTTCTACACTAAGGCTTATTTAACACTGTGGGGTTCTTCATTAGTGCTAATTAGCAAAAAATAATAAAAAAATTAACCAATAATTTTGGAACATTTCAATGCATATCCCTGAAAAACATTTGACTGCCTGTTCATATATCCATTTACTAAACACAGTATCTGAAAATTATGAATAAGAATGAACACCTCAACAGTACAAGACAAAGAATAGTGTCCAATTACTTTTATTTGCACATCCCATCACCGTGAATTCTTGTTCCCCCTCATAAAGGAGCCCACATATCAGGGAAGGAGAGGCGCAAGGTTTCCTCTCATGCGCTGCCGAGGCCTCCTCAACACCCCTTGATCTACCCTCCATCCAAAGTACACCATCTCAGGGTGAACATACATAAGCTTAATCATTCTAGTGTTGGGATTCAGCATGCTTTTTCTTTCCTTTTTTATAAACAATGCTACTGGTTAAGCTCAAGATATGTTGCTCAAAAAAAAAAAAAAAGTGGTAGGTGTTCAGAATAAGACTACATAAAGCAATGCCCTGGCTTCTGTAATTGGCCTTGCAAAGGCAACAAACAGAATATATATCGTCACAATTTGTTTACCTATACTAAAGCACAGTACAGTGTGTGTGTGTGTGTGTGTGTGTGTGTGTGTGTGTGTGTGTGTGTGTGTGTGTGTGTGTGTGTGTGTGTGTGTGTGTGTGTGTGTGTGTGTGTGTGTGTGTGTGTGTGTGTGTGTGTGTGTGGTGTGTGTGTGTGTGTGTGTGTGTGTGTGTGTGTGTGGTGTGTGTGTGTGTGTGTGTGTGTGTGTGTGTGTGTGTGTGTGTGTGTGTGTGTGTGTGTGTGTGTGTGTGTGTGTGTGTGTGTGTGTGTGTGTGTGTGTGTGTGTGTGTGTGTGTGTGTGTGTGTGTGTGTGTGTGTGTGTGTGTGTTGTGTGTGTGTGTGTGTGTGTGTGTGTGTGTGTGTGTGTGTGTGTGTGTGTGTGTGTGTGTGTGTGTGTGTGTGTGTGTGTGTGTGTGTGTGTGTGTGTGTGTGTGTGTGTGTGTGTGTGTGTGTGAGAAGTTCATCTACAATATGAATTTACTATAAATAAATAAATAAATAAATAAATAAATAAATAAATAATCACAAAAATCATCAGTGATATTTACTGCGTGAGTGAGGGAAAGGAAAGGATCTACCGAATAAATATAAATAATTAGACAAATGGGTAAACATAACAACATAACAACAAGAATACGACAATATTAAAAGTCAGACAGATCAAATAATTCTTCAGTGCAGTGTCCAATAACTATGACCATCTAAGCATTGCATATAGAGCATGCCGAGTACCAACTTGGACGGCAGGAATTCCAGTGGCGGACTGCTGCTGCACTCTACCAAAATTCCTGGTGGGTGCAACTGTACTGAACTGGAATTACAGAAGAATGCAAACTCTAGTGGCGAGGTTAACTACTGACTGACTATTCACTCTTCTATGCATCACCTGACCTCTGATTATGTCATTTCTGAATTAAGAAAAGGTAAACACATACATGAAGAGATTAACATACAAGTTAATGTTCAGAATAGGATCACATAAAGCAAGACAGAACATTCAGCTAGTTGGTCATAAATTAATGGGGAAGTCAACGAGTTCCACTGATCAAAATATACAGGGCAGGAATTTGTTTGCCTTTTCCAGGAAATATAGGCCCTAAATCAGTTCATAAATTAATTCAAACGTAAATATGGTACCTTAACAAGGACTTGTAATCTTACATATACTTTCAGCAGACTATTTTTGAGCATAAGAGTGTCGTTTTATATGTTCTTTGAGGTCCTGAGCTTCCCCATTCTCTATTTTTGCAAGGTCCTATTCTGAACATTTACTAACACAAATAACAATTATAACAAATAGATAAAATACTACACAAATAATGATGACCAAGTTCATAACATTTCATACTTTACAAAAGAAATCATAATATATTAGAAAAAAATCAAAACCTGGTTTCATATAACATTAAACATTAAGTCCATGGCAGAACATTGCCAATCAAATATTCTTATGGAACCAATTTTCTAAATCTATATCAATTTTAGCAATGACTCTGAAGAAGTTCAAAAATGTCATGTCTAACTCCTTATTCCTTAAGAACCACAAACCATCCTCGTCAATAGAGTATCAAAGAGCAAAAAGTTGAATAAATCATCAAAATTACCTATCTTGTGTGAATGAAAAAGGGGAGAGAGAGTAATATGAATATGTAAATAAAATACATATAAAATCATTTTCCTATTTGGTAAAACACAAACATGTAGATGTATTCACAGGTATCAAGATGTAAAACCATTTAAAAGACAATAACATAACAGATCAGGTGATTAGGGTAGGTGGAGGAGAGGGAAACCATTCTCCAGTCATAGAAAAGAGTCAGGTACATTTTCAACAGTTGCCCTCTGACTGCTGTTGTCTCTTTGTATCCCACGATAAAGCTTCTGTTTACTTTCTGTCTTCACTTTCTGATCACCTATCAGAAAATCAATAGCCTAGTTGTCTTACCTATCCAAAGGCTCCCAAAATCACCAAAAATGCTTATGACACTTTGAATCCCATGAAAGCAATAGTCTCAGGACTTCCCATTCACCCTACAGATGAGAAACAATTAAAAAACACAAGGTATTTCATCTGACTTAATAACTTCAGGGTAAGACACATACCTAATGGAAAAAGTATTTTGTCTCTCACTTCATAATAACCTAGACCTAATGCACAAAACAGCAACAAAGAAAACAAACAGGGCATCTCATAAACTTCACCCTTCCCTAACCACGCATTAAGATAATTTGATTTAAAAGAGAACCCAACACGGAGAGTACACACCTTCTCAGCTACTACCACCCCTCATTATGGATAGCAGAACATATCTCACACTCAGTGATGGGCATCAATACACAGAATTGTCTAATGCATCACCAATACCGATAGTTGAAAATTGGCTAAAGCAAACCCGATAAATTGATTCTTTGAAAACAGTTAAAGCAATATCGATAACAAAAAATGCATTGCCAATATCCCATCTCTGACTACTTGTAATTGTTTTTCAAAAGAAATAGAGAGAGAGAGAGAGAGGAGAGAGAGAGGAGAGAGAGAGGAGAGAGAGAGAGAGAGAGAGAGAGAGAGAGAGAGAGAGAGAGAGAGAGAGAGAGAGAGAGAGAGAGAAACTGCCTATATCTGCTCAAATAAAAACAAAAAAAGTCCCAATTATCCTCCTGCTCCTGTCTCTAATACATACCAAACTACTTCACATCCAGTGAAAAATAAAAATAAAAAAGATACTGGAATCAACGTACAACCATCAGCCATGTGCATCTGCCGGATAAACTTTCCATATGCAACTGATTAGTCAATACCTAATAGCACTGAATCCCGCACATCAAACGATGCTGCAGCAAAGGCAAACAAAATGTTACAAGTGTATTCTGAGAAGATAATGTTTGCAGATCACTCCAGTCCAAGCTCAATTATTCAATGTCAGACTTTGGAATATATAAGGAGAAGTTAACGGCATTTGCCAGAGGCCCAAGCATAGCATCGCTAAAATACTGTACGCATCCTTGGCATAAACTGTGTATGTCATATGTAGTTTATCCCGTCATTGAATATTCTTTATTCTAATAATCAATCATCTACATTTTGTGAACTGTAAAAAAAAATCATAGCTACTTTTTTTTTAATGATCCCATAAACACTATTACCTGTTTTATTTCAAGTCTCCCAACATTCTGTCACATAAAATGTACTGAAAATAAAGAAACTAGCCAAATAAAATTATAATAAAGTACCAATTCAATTAAATTACATAACTACTCCATAGACCGCAAAGACACCAGTCAGAGAGAGAAAAAGCTATTGTTAATGCTACCGAGAGCAATGCACAGACATAGAGGGAAATGGTCACTGCCATCTTATGGGGAATAAGAAATAGTCCTTTCCAACACAGATACAACTGCTGCAGTTTAAACATTTACTGCAAAATAACAAAAAATATCGCTGCGTATCACCGCCCAGAAGCTAGGTCTGCAACACTCCACAAGCCAGATGTCTGTTTTCTGTAAGATGGCGCAAAGTGCTAATAAAGGGGAGGTAGAGGGGGCTTGCCTCACCACCCCCCCTGTCTCGGGAATAAATAGAAGGTAGGAAAGATTAGTTGTTTTTTGGACTTTGTGATTTAAATGATACCCTGGTTTTGGTAATTCACTCATCGTAAATACCAAATTTGTTGCAAAATAATAATAACGACCACCAAACTCGCAGCACAAAAATGAGAATCAAACTGAACTGAAAGAGAGCAAAATGAAAAAGAACGAAAAGATTAGTAAAATAATCTTTAAAAAGGGAAACCTCACCTTCGACGCAAATTCCTTCAAAAGCCGAATGAAGTCCTGGTCGCTTCCTGTCTCTAAAAGCTTTAAGACTGACTCCTCCATTTTTCTTCTTTTTTTTTCTCTCTCTTCTCTCTCCTTTTCTTCTACCCTGCTCTCGCTTGCCCTTTATCTCCTTTCTTTCTTTTTTTCCTTAGTTCTCTTCTCCTCTCCTCTCTCTTCGCCTCCTTTACTCTACTTCCTCTTCACCTAGCTTCTCTTCTTTTTCCTTCCTCTTTCCCCTTTTCCTTCTCTCCCTTCGTCCTTATCCTCCTCTTCCTTCTTCCTTCTCTTCCACTTCTCCTCGTCTTCCTCTTCTTCTCATATACTTCCTCTTCTTCTCCTCGACTTCCTCTTCTTCTCTCTCTTTCTTCTCCTTCGTAAATCAAATTCCTCTTCCTCCCAAATAACACTAATAAGGTTTCCCGGAGACAGACACACAGAGACACAAGACACTCCTCTCCGAAAACAGCAGACAGCTTGTAAACACTGCGGCTATTTTCACCGTGGGGGAATTTTCGCGATCCCTCACCTCAAGTTGGGTTTGAGTTTGTGACGTCACGATGGCGTCACGATATCGTCATATCTATTGGTTGTACCGGTACTTTTCATCAAATATATTCAGATATCAAGTATAAATAACAATCAAGTGATTTAAATGGCATTTGAAGCTATACAATTAATTTGGGGTATATAGGTAGTTTGTACTTCAGGTAGACTTGTTGTGACGTCAAAGACTCAACCCAGCTTGATCATAGGGACCGCGAATATTCTCCTCAGGTTAGGTGGAGTCACGGATAGGGATTTATCATTCTACTCGCACTGTTGTAGTTATTTACCATATCATTACAGTTATCAATATCTTTGTTTCTTTTTACGATTTTGTGTGTGTATTTATTCTTTTTAATTTGCTTGATGCGTCAAATATGCTAACTTTTTCGTGAGTAAAATCTATTATGAGTCAAATGTCTATCTTCAATTTTTCTTTTTCTTTTTTTCCCTCTATCGCAACTAATTAGAAATCCCTCATTACATAATTCTGTGGGGATGTAACCACAGCTCAGAACAAACAATAATAATTTTGTAAGTATGTCATACTCTAATAACCCGGAATTGTTGCACTTAATTTTGAAGATGTAATGGAAGAACATCTAGTATTCATGTATTGTGAATATAAATTCGAAATGATAATCTGAAATATGGTGAAATTAACCGATATTCATCACAAAAAACGGTATTTAGGGGTAACTATTTTTAAGGTTTGGATGAAATTGTCACCTAATCTATTTCCTAAAAATAGCGAACGCGATCAAACTCAAAGTTCAGTATCTAGATTTAAATCATATCGTAAACTGAAAAGCTTTCCAGGGTATAGCTTTAGCGTTTATATACTATTTTCCATATATACTACCGTGCATAATTAACTTACTAAACTGCTAACTTCAGACTTGAGACTTTGACACCACATATACACGCACATACACATACATTACACAACATACACACACACACACAACACACGCACACACACAAACATACAAACA